TATCAAAAACAAGTTTATAAGTCCAAAAACATCTTAGGGTAATGTTCCAGTCCAATTCCAATCCAGCCAAAACAATCGAATATATGCATCCAACTCGATTTTTCATTTTTCAGCTACTTTTGCAAGTATAACAAAGAAAACAAGCCTAGGCTCTGATACCACTGTTGGGATTATGAGCATTCTAACACTCCTAAGTGTACATGCAAACCCCAAATACCTTGGATCTATGTTTCTCTCTATTATACATACAATTATGAACATCCAAGTATTATCCTAATCTAGCATACAAATAATAATAAAACAAGATAGAATCATACCTCTTTGATGTAGAATGTCTTCATGAAGCTTGAGTGCCTAGTGCCCCAAGTGTGACACCTCAAATGGTTCACACAACACCAATACACTGGAATAACTTGAGAGAAACTTGAACACTCCTTAATTATCGTCTAGCCCTCCCACTTACACATTAGTCCACGATTTCTTGAGCCATGGGATTCTTTTATATGGTGGCTATTAGGGTTACACCATGTAACTCATAACTTTACCCATTCCTTATGCTCCATGAATTTTAACCTCCATGGAGTATCCATGGGTCACCCCATGGACTTAGTCCAACATAAGGAATCTTGGATCACAAGCCCACATATATAAGAATGAATGATTTACAAATCAAAACCATATATTTAATTAGTCTCCTTTTGATCACTTAATTAATTCCAAATTAATTATTGATCAATACTAATTAAATAACCTTATTAATATATTAGAACTTATAATATATTAACCAACCTTAAGTGTTATTTCTCTCATTATAGTCTATCCAAATGCATGATGCCATGCAACCCAAATGGACCATGTCGGGTCGGGTCAAGTCTTACCAATTATAGTTATGGACTTAGACATTAATCCAACATGACAAAGGTCTAAACAATTGGGACTATGATTACGGCATCCCTTTTCATAGTTTTGAATTTGTTTAGACACACATTGTGGGCTATCTGAGGAAGGTGTATGATTTTTGATAAAGTTTTATCAAAGCATACTGTATCAGAAATCTGAACTTTGGTAAGAAAGCCAATAAAGTATTGATTTCTAGAAGTCCAACTGATTTCTAAGTACATGTCAAAGCTAGTGGGAGCATAAGTGTTATGCTAATAATCATCATGTTTGGGAGCATGATAATTATGATAAGTGTGCAAGTTAGCAAATGTTGATTATAGAAAACAAAAGGTTTCAATTGGGAAAAGTTGTTTTGCTAAATAAGGGAGAGGAAATTATACTTCATTTCAATTCTAAAAGCTTAGATTGTGGTTTTAATCATCTTTAGTCAAGGATATATATATATATATATATATATATATAATAATATATATAATATAAATAGATATATATATATATATAGATAATATATATATATAGGGATTTTATGTTGGAATGGCTCAACATAAGGAAATTCTATATATGGGTCAATTATTTGCGTTCTAAAATTCGATTATGACTACGACATCCCTTTTCATAATCTGAATTATAAGAACTTGGCAATAGAAATAGAATATTATAGCAGAAAGACTGGTCTAGTATCATGTCTTTATGTGAGACATCATGATCGTGCCCCATATGCTTCGGATATAGGATCGATTGATGTGATATATTTCATCTTTCTAATTTTTTCCAAATGCTCAGGGCATTAAGAGGGGAAAAGTCTAGAATTGGATATGACTATTTTGATTAAGCAATATCGAGAACAATCTAAGGTTTACCAAGATTGGTTGCTCAGGGACAGTTGGAAGTATAGTGTAAATTTTTGAAAGGACCATTTTGACATATTCTGAAAAGAGGCAACTCTTGTTCAGAAGTGATAGTCAAAATGAGAATATGGAAATATTCCCATAGGTGGAAGTTATTCATTAAATCTGTGTAAGATTAGGAAACTTAATGCAAGAAGGATGTTCAAAGCAATGTACTTTGAATTTGAGACTTCGTTTCCATAGAATGATCTCCATTGGAATACTCTGTAATGTCTGTTGACAAGTCTTTGTGACTTTGTGTATAATCATTACAAGAGGATCAATGCATATAAGTCTAGAATCTAACAGATTTAGGTAAATGGCAGGAATTTGGAATTCTTGCATTTGTGGTAAGGATTTGGGATTGTGAAATGAGTATCATTGGAATTATGTTCAATCGATCTATTTCACAAAGTAAAAGATCATAGACAAACTTAGTGTGCATACTTGGTGTATGGCATAACTAATGTTTGGAAAAACATAGTGTGCATACTTGGTGTATGGCATGACTAGTTTTAGAAAACATAGTGTACATGCTTGAGCTTGGGACAACTATTGTTTTTCTTTAAAGAGTCTTTCTCAAAATTGTTCAGTTCTTTTTATTTTGAAAAGATTATCAGTCCTCAGTTTGAGTTCTGAAACACCCGAAAATGTGCCCGAATCCCTCAAACCAAGGCTCTGATACCAACTTGTAACAACCCAAAACCAGGATCAAATTTTTCATTTAATTAAGCACAAGAGTTACAATCGTCACATTGTTCCAAAACTATTCATTAATAATAATGTCAAATCATTAGAGTAAAATGTCAAATTGTGAAAAACTAGTGAGGAGTGAATGTTGCGCCATCAAGTCGAGCCCTTCCCCTTAGTACCAGAAGTACCTGAAACCACAAATATAAATTGTAAGCAAAAGCTTAGTGAGTTTCCCAATCATATCACATACAAAAAAGTAAACATGTAAGTGCCATGGGCTACCAACATGGTCTTTACATACAATGCCGAGGGCCAGATCTCTGTCTTATATATGAGTGCCATGAGCTACCCCCATGGTCTTTCCTTGTGAAGCCAAGGGCCAAATCCCGATCTTACACTCAAATGCCATGGGCTACCCCCATGGTCTTTCATACCATTATTACAAAAGTCAACAAAATTCTAAGTAATAAGAAATGGGTCGACATTGGTGCCTTCGACCCATGAACATGGTGAGAAGATTCACCTCAACTGTTGATATCCCAAACAAACACTCGGCTGCTAAGCTAGATAAATTCCCGAGCTAACTAAACAATAAAGTCCCAAAACAGTTGGATCAAAATCCAGACTAATACTTACAACATAAGACTAATGTCCAAAGTGAGATGGGCCAAACTAGACTTAAGGCCCAATAAAATCCTAGGCCCAAACCAAGGATCAACTAAGGCCCACAATGAGTCCAACAGCTGGAGTGGCCCATCGGAAAAACGTCCAAGACCCAAATCCATTAAATGAGCCCATCACTTTGGCCCAAAACGTAAGCCCGACTGATCTGAGCCGTACGCTCGACGTACACATTGATATGCACATCGTACAAGGTTGAAGCGGGAATCGCGACCAATGGAGACAATACACGCGACGTATAGGAAGTACGTACGGCGTACGCGGCCCCCATGCAATCCATGCAAAAATGACTTAACCACTTAAGCCCAAAACGATTAAAACTCAGATCTGGACTCCCTAAGACCATTAAGGCCATAAAGTTGCAAACTTTATGCCTTAGGGTGGATACAAAGAGCCCAAACTCTAAAACCTAGCTTTTCACACCCAAACCTACACTCTAGCACATGAATGGGGACTCAACAAGGTCCAATATTGCACCTTTATGATGTAAAACGACTAGAAGCATCTGAAAATACAACTTGGAGGCTTAGGAGTAGCTCATACTCACCAAGATCTAAACTTTAGGGACAAAAGGGGAAAACTAGCCTCAAAAGGGAACTTAATTAAACACAACCAATGTTTGGAGCTATATACTTTCTATTGGTGAAAAGTGAAGATGAGAAGCTGGATCCAAACTCTTCAGGGAAAAGCTTCCTTCTTGAACAAGCTTCTTCACAACCAAAAGCACACACTATCACTCAAAAAGCTCAAAGAAGATCAAAATGCACTAGGGTTTCCTAAGAGGGTCGAGAAAGGGAATGGAGGCTGAGGTAGGGAGGGTCTTGGGCTATAATGGGGTTTAATAGTGCACAAACCCTAATTCTTAGGGTTTTGGCCTCAGTCACGTATGCCCAACGCACTGGAGTACGTGCAGCGTATAAGGATGTACGCCCCACGTACACGATCAAGACCAAGATTTCAAGATTTTAACTTTAGGGACCTAAAGTGCAACCAAATCAAACTTCAAGGGTTCAAAAGCAAACCTGATAAATATTAGATGTTACATAGACCCGGGGGTGAAATAGACCCGTACGGTTGAAAAATACCGATTGAGTTGAAATTGACTCGGGGGTGAAATAGACCCGGGGGTGAAATAGACACGGGGGTGAAATAGACCCATTATAGCCTTGAGCTGACATTTGAGTTGAAATAGACTTGGAGGTGAAATAAACTCGGGGGTGAAATAGACCCCGTACAGCCTTGAGCCGACGTACATGTATGGTATGCGGTATTTTGGGGAACTCACTAAGCTTTGTGATTACGGTTTTCAGTTTATATTTCAGGTACTTCCGGTTCGTAGAGGAAGAGCTCGAGATGATCGCATCGCGCACACCATGATTTTTCCGCCTTATTTGATCCTAATGCATTTTTGGATGATTGTTGACATACTATGATTTCCCTTATGATTTTTATAAACATGTTTGGTTGATGGTGTTATTAATAACAAAATGAAATTTTTGGTCATAAATTTTTGGGATGTTTCACATTCTAGACATCTACATGAGATCATGAACATGACATACATGGTTAGGGTTTGTAATCACATATGTGGTGGTGGTGTTCGTGCGATAGAAAAAAAAAGGAGAGTAGCTTGGTGACAGGCGGTGGTGATTTCGTCAGTCAACGTCGACGTCATTAGCAATGACAAAACAAATAGCGGCGACATATTTAGTTGCAACAATTTTAACGAATTAGCGACGACAGTTATTAGCAGCGACGTGAAAAAAAATATAAGGGGAAAGTCTTACGGTTTTTCTTTGGGAGCATTAGCAGCGACACCTTGTCTCCCTTATTGCTCTAATGAGAGCTAAGCAAAGTCGTTGGATTGTCTTTTTGATCGATGGCTTGGAATCAACAGAAACAAAGCACACAAACCGTGAGAACAAAACAATAGTTGCGACACTAAGCGCGTTCAACAAGGTGTCACCGCTATTGCACATATTTCATGTAGTGATCATATCATGTCTTCCACAACAACCACTCATTCATTTAATAGGTATAACTCCTATCACAAAATATCATGTCAAATGATGGTATTGCTTCTTACCGTGAAAACGAAAGCTCATATAAACGATTTATATGAAAGGAAGAAGGCACATATACAAAACTTTTCGAAATGATAAGACTATACGGAAAACCGGTATTAATTCTAAAGCGGAAAATGATCATAAGATGTAAAGAAAAACTAGCAAAATGGCTATCAATTCAAGATGTCTGGATCATGATATTTAGCACTCAACAAAACTAAATAGACCAAACACAATCATGATTTTTGGTACCTTAGATTAACATCAACGATAATTAGAAGCTGTGTAGTATCCATCAACAAAGAAAACAAGTCATGCTAGTGTCAAAAATCAGAAGAAATGTTTGTAAAACTAACCTGTGAAGGAACTATTGGCACAAGTCCCCCAAGAAACATAAACTGATTATCAAACTTACATTTAACTAAAAAATGCAATGTGTACAAATGAAAATCAAATGCAACTAAGACAACAAAATTATGAAAAAACAAATGCAAAATTCCGTTTTTTTTTTTTTTGCAAAAGCAGTAGTTCTTTTTCGAAAGAGAAATTAAATATCCTCCTACTCTTTGTTCCTACATATCCTCCTACCCAATGAAATGATGACATGTGTAACATTTAATGTTCATTTAATGATATTTTAGGATACTAATATGACACATATCATCGTTTAAATGGGTAGGAGGATTAGTAGGATCAAAAGGTAGGAGGATATTTAATTTCTCTTTTCGAAAAATGAATTTTTTTTGCAGCTAAGACAACAAAAATATGAAAATTTAAGAAACAAGTGCAAAAAATGTAAGATCTATTTAATATTTTTACCAATTAATGCAAAGATATTTTGTTTTACTCATTTGATAGTTAATACAACAAAGTGATCATTACTCACTTGTAGAAGAAAAATAAATGTTACTCTACTTTCATGGCACTAGATAGATGGCAAATTGACCTGGTCGCTTGTTTTTTTCCCGTGCTTTGTGCATATTCCATTAACGGAAAAATCGTCTGCAAAAACCTCTTGTTAAATAAGAGTAGAATCACTAATCCATACAACTCTTATGCATGATTCCCGCAACAAACTCCTGCATACAGCATATAACTTCACATCACAATTCACAACCCATCTCGGAAATGAAACTATAAGATCTACAACATTTCTACCAATTTCTTGAATCCTCTCTTTGGTACGTATATACCCTAATATTTATCCTTTTTCCGCCATCCAATTCGATTGTTTCATGTCTACGTATAACTACAATACGATTTTGTGTTTTGAAAAACTCATCTAACGAAAGAATTTGTCTTTTGGGGAATTTCGACAAACAGGTTGTAGACATACTGATCAATGGAAGCAGAAGTAGGAGCAATGCCATTGCCAACATCAACTGATCATGAGAAAGAGACGCCCACAAGGCTTGAGGTACCAGTTTCCTTGTAATCTTGAAAATTTGTGAATCTTTGAATAAGTTTGGATGATATAAGAAACTGTGAAATTGCAGGGGAGGTTTACTGCAATGGTGGTGTGCTGGGTTCTTGGAATTGGGTGTTTGTTTTCTTGGAATAGCATGCTGACGATAGAAGATTATTATGTTAATTTGTTTCCGGTAACTTTAAATTACTCCATTTGTATAAAAACTCAAACTTTTGATGCAAAGAATTAAACGTAAAGATTTTTTGCTTTTGGATTCAAATAACATCTCCATTGTAGAAATATCACCCATCAAGAATCCTGACGCTCGTTTACCAACCATTCTCCCTCGCAACACTCGCAATACTTGCATACCATGAAGCCACTATAAATACCAGGAAACGGAACTTATTCGGATACATTCTTTTCTTCTTCGGTACTCTTGCTGTTTTGCTTGTAAGTCCCCAAAAATGTCACAGATTGTTTTTGGAAAATTAGCAACGAAGTGATTCCATTTTGTGTGTATTGTAGTTGGATTTAGCAACATCTGGTAAAGGTGGAATAGGAAGTTTCATCGGGTTGTGTGCAATAAGTGCTTCCTTTGGAGTTGCGGATGCTTATGTGCAAGGTGGAATGATTGGAGACTTGTCATTCATGTTGCCTGAGTTCATTCAAGTTAGTAATTTTCACAGTTAACATTATTAATTTCATGTGTGTTTATCTGTTGGTTTTTCACTATGTTATATTCTTATATGATAATTCTTTAGTTGTTCGGAGTTTTTTAGTCGTTTCTAGCTGGGCTTGCTGCATCTGGAGCTATTACCTCCGGTTTGAGATTGCTCACGAAGGGAGTTTTTGATAATTCGCAAAACGGTTTACGAAAGGGAGCACGTAGGTCCTTTACATTTATCATTTTACTATTTTTTTTTTTTTTTTACTTAATGAGAACATCAGTTAATCTTTATATATTGGGTGTTTTATTTAACTTTACGACTTTATAAAGAAAGTAAAAGGGAAATGTCCAAGTTTTTTACAAAATTGCTCCTTTGTTTTTTCTTTCCATTTTTCATTGTTATGCTATTTTCTCAAATATTAGAGAAACCTTTATTTTGCAGTTTTATTCTTCGCATTATGCACAATCTTTGAGTTGCTTTGTGTCCTTCTATATGCATTTGTGTTCCCAAAGCTTCCAATTGTAAAATACTACCGATCAAAGGCAGCTTCAGAAGGGTCAAAAACGGTTTCAGCCGACCTTGTTGCTGGCGGGATTTATTCACATTCGGGAGAGGTATTAGTGTTTTTTTTTTTAAAATGTCTTCAATAGGGCATAAAGCAAAGAAAAATAATCGTACTTCCATAATTTGTGGATTATAACACACTACGTGTCTTTCTTTCTATTACAACATTGTGCATTCAATCTTTACTTTATAAAATCGCTTTATTTCAAAAGATCGACACAATTATAGAATCGTGCCTTCATTTTTTTTTTCTTATGGTACAATGAAAAGTGTTTTGTATTAAGATGACATTGCTATAATTTGGTACATTTGTGAAAGTGTAATTTTGTAATAATAGAACTGAAAGTAGGATTCTATAATAAACAAGCCAATAAAAGTAAAATGCTATTTCTTGCATTTAACCCTTTCCGAATTGGTTCCTTGTGAGACAATCCATAGGAGTTGCTACTTGCTAGTTCTTGTGATTTGTTAATTATGCTTACAATCATTTTCTTATTAAGGTATTGTATTTTGAAAAATCTATCCAACTAAAGCATTTTACTTTTAGTTTTCTTATGATAACAGTGAAAATGGATAGAATTTTCGATGTACTATTTTGTAACATGAAAAAAAAGAAAGTAAGATATATTCTATAATAAACAAATCAATAAAAGTACATTGCTATGTCTGGGTTCCGAAAAAATTATTTGATTTGCTAAGCTTCAATCGGGTTTTGGTAGGACGAAGCAAACTCTACAATACATGAAAGATTGAGCAACAAGGAATTGTTACGAGAAAACATAGATTACGCGATGGATATGTTTTTAATATATCTTTTAACATTGTCTATTTTCCCTGGCTTCTTATCTGAAGACACGGGATCACATAACTTGGGTTCATGGTAACATCAACACTCTCAAGATCCATTGTTTTGTCCATTATACAACCATTTCTACATCGGGTGCAACCCAATAATAATAATAATAATTTTTGCTAAACATCATTTGTTGTTAGGTATGCGCTTGTTTTGATTGCGATGTACAATGTGTGGGACCTTGTGGGACGATATATCCCATTAATCAAATGTGTGAAGTTGGAGTCACGAAAGGGACTCATGATAGCGGTTCTTGCGAGATTCTTACTTATACCCGCATTTTATTTCACGGCTAAATATGCCGATCAGGGTTGGATGATATTTTTGACATCGTTTTTGGGATTAACTAATGGTTACCTTACCGTTTGCGTCCTCACTTCTGCTCCAAAAGGCTACAAGGTACGTTATCGTGTTCTAGCCTTTTAGTTTTATTTATAATTTCTTCCTACATACTAATGTATGTGTTGTTATTATTGTTTGCAGGGACCCGAACAAAACGCATTGGGGAATATACTTGTGTTGTTTCTTATGGGAGGTCTTTTTGCCGGGGTAACGTCCGACTGGTTATGGCTAATTGGCAAAGGTTGGTGAGAGATATAAAATCATGTAAATTAGACGTATTGAAGTAAGCTAGTTTTCTAGAGTAATTTGGTATCAAGTGCAGAAATAAGACATGGTAAATAGTATATATTTGGTTTTATGTTGCATTTTGATCTCATTTCTTTTTCTATTTAGCAAGCACAATGAAAGTTCTAGGCATATTCTCGTGTAATATTAGAGAACAAGAAAAACAAAACCAAAATAAGAATGGCAGTTGAATAGATATATTGACAAGATAAGATATCAAAATACCAAAACAAAAGGTATATGTTTTTCTTTGCTATTTGACGTTTACCAATGAGAAAAATTATAAAAAAGAAAAAAAAAATACAAACTTCACTCCTTTTGTTTACGTAGTGATATTAATTTATATTTACTCTGTCTCATATTTATAGTCTATGTTTTTTTTTGAGTTGTTCCAAAATAATTGTCTAATTATTAAAATAAATATCATTTTTACCAAAATGCTCGTCATTATTATTTAACCAACCAAAACATTTAATGATGAAATTAAATACAAGAAAGAGTAAAAATATCATTCTATTAGATAAAGTTAATGGTAACTAATGTTTCCTTAATTTATGTGTTTTTTTTGTTGTGGACAATAATTTTGGAACGGTTAGAGTATATGAAAGATGCTACCAAATAATTTGAGCAAATGTGATTTTTACATGATAAAACGGTAAATGATTGATTATGTTAAAGCATCCATCTAAATGATTCAACTTTACTTTAAACATAATCATAATCACTATTTTATTCTATCCATTGAACTCTATTGAAGAGTGGAGAGATCATTGAAATCTTATGTTAACTTCACTTCATGTAATCACCAAAACTCGATTAAACATTCATTCAATCCGAGTCACCACCTCATTCAACTCTTATACTACTTGCATTATGGATTTCGTTACAGGGGTGTTTGGTATAGTGAAATAATCAAAGGGAATTGAATTGTTTTTTATTTTCTTTGTTTGTTTTGTATTAAAATGAAGAAAAAAAGGAAAAAATTTGAATTCGATTTCCATCAATTTTATTCTCTATTACTTATAGGGAAAATGTGAGAATACAAGCATCAAATCTCCGAGAAATAGAAAAGCCGGAGAATTGAAGAATCCACCCGCCTCTCCACGGTTCGAGCCCTAAATTCTCCAATCAACGATTTTTTTTACTTCTTCATTCGATTTTTTTCTTCTGATTCGATTTTGGATATCTTGATTTTGGATGCCGACCTAGTCTTAGTCTCTCCTTGTTGCGTTCGATTTTATAGCACAATTCGTCTGCCCTACTATGTCTCTCTTAGCCTTAAATGATTTTGCTTTCGATATTGGCAACCCAAAGTTATCCAATTAAGCTATTTTTGTTTACATGTCATCCATTTACTTGCTCCTGTGTTTTAGTTCATCAGTTTTTTGATTTATAATGTGTTTCAGTTCGTTAGTATGGTGTAGTAATTTATATAATGTATTAGTCAAATAATTTGGTTTTGACCAGGACATAAGTACCGATGCACTGTGTCATTAGAACCAATGGATTTTTGTCCTACAAAACAAGTTAACCGTACGGAATGTGACGAAAAAAAAGCATGTATTAAAGTCCTGCAAAAGTGATTATCTTTTTTGCTTTACTAATGGATTGGATCAAAGTCTTGTAATTAGTATACTACCCATAGCTCTGTTATGGCACGATTCAAGCAATACATCTCTTGATTTTGTATATTTATTCCAAAATATACATATGTATATTTTGATAAAACAAGCTTTTAGTAATAGGCTGCCAAATTGAATTATGACTCGAAAAGTGCACCAAAGAAGGGCAAAAAAAATCGGGTTATTTCATCCGAAAAAATGGACAATGACATAAAAAACCTTAAGTTTGTTAGAAATGTGTGAGTTTACCCTTTTGTACATTTTAGGTTCACTGATACCAGATTCTTGCAATTTTTTTTTGATTTTACCATTTTTGCAAATTTACCCGATAAAACTGAACATTTCTACGAAAATTAAGAGCTTTAACGAACCAAAAAATTAAACTTAAGGGCTTTTATGAACAAAAAAAGGTAAAACTGAACATCTATATCAAATGTAAGAGCTTTAACGAACAGGAAATACACAAAAGAGTAAAGTCGGAAAAAAAAAAGTTGCAAGTATCCGGTATTAGTGAACCGGATTAGGTTTACCATTAAAAAAAACACTATATTGCAATTAGTTTGAAAAACAAACTAACTTATACATGCCAAACAAAACGTAAGTGGTTACAGTTACGAGTGAACATGGTACGGTAAGGATTATTTTTTCTCTAAACTGTTTAAAATACCAAGCTCTAATTGATATAAAAAAAATTCTTATCAATACTATACCAAGTATACTTGGTACCAATATGTTTGACTACCAATAAATTTGATTGGTACAAATTGATAACGGTATATGTCAACTTATATTAATTTTCTATAATAAAATTTAAAGATACGCTAAATCACCGGGTAGCTTTGACGATTAATAAAGAAATGAGTTAGGTAGTTTTTTTTCAAAGAAATTTATTAAAGTAACATTATAACAATGTTTCATATTTGTAATTTTACCAGGTAAGTATTAACTAATGTGGTTAAATTACTTATATAATGGTCTTAAAACTATAAACACTAAACATAATTGAAAGTTGATATACGATTTTGTTTATATATATATATATATATATATATATATATATATATATAAATTAATTGGTTGGTAAGATATTATCAGGGCATTCAAAATTTTATATAATTACCGTACCAAGATTGTTTAATTGGTACGGTACTACCATACTACCAACCAAATATATTGACTATCAACTCTATTGGTTCAGTTAGTAACATGTTTGTTGGTTTTCTGTGAAATAATTTTGACAACCCTATTTACAGAGACGAGTTAAAAAAAAACCTTCTCATTTAAAAGCTTTATAAAAACTTATTAAGATACTAAAAAGCTTTCCAATAAATTATCATTAAAAATGCTCTTATACTTGATTAATAAATATTTCGTATGAATAATAGAAAATCAATTGTAGTTAATGCAAAAGAATAAAAATTCTATTGCAACATTAGTTCTTTTTTGCAAAGCTGAAAAATCAATTTATGTGCAACTGAGCCAACAAATCATTTGAAAATGAAAAATCAACACACGGATAATGCTTCAAGGTAGCGTTTAATATGAAAATGATATATAATAAAACAAGGTTCTAAATAACGTGAAGCGTGAGCTTGATGGTAAAGTTATAATGTTAGTAAATTTATAGATTCTCCATAGTTTTCATGAGTTAGTGTTGTTCGTCCCTATAAATTTAAAATATAATCTTATAATGTTAGTAAATTTATCTTGAAATAATTTCAAATTCATGTATTTTAAGAGGAATGGCCAAAATATATAAAAGATACCCCTACCTAGCAAGTAACTAGATAGGGCAAAAGTGGAACAAAAACGGTCATTTATAGAAAGGAGAAAAGAGAGCGTGTCTACTCAACCTAATTACAAATGTTTTTTTAACCTTACATTTCAACCATAAGTAAATCACCGACTTGATGTTATCTACCATCCTGGAAGGAGATCAGAACAATCCCGGAATCAGTTCTCGTTCCTTGACTTCCATAACATCCAAAACATCCCATAACAAATCATAATTAGCCATTCTCTTTTCTTAGGACACCGTCTCCATGCAGCTATGAATTGCATAATCCTTTTAACATTTGTCACATCAATTGTTTGTAATCTAGACCAGGAGAAGACTTGCTCATGAACCAAACAAGAAAACAGGAATGTAACAAGAATGTGGTATGTATCTTCAATTCTACCAATACAAGAACCACAATAGAAAGATCTCAATTGAATATCACTCTATAAAAGGGCCTTAGTAGAAGGGATACGTCCCATGACGGCTCTCCAAATAAAGAGCATAACCTTTATCATGATCGATTAGTAACCACTACAAATTAGACTAATTTGAATTAATGGATGGATTGTGATTTATTCTTCTCCTTAAAGCGTCACCGCATATCTGACATAAGAGTGTAAGGGACATGACCACATATAAGGATTGATTTAAAGGATGGTTTGTTCCATGGTACTTGTCAACCGGTTGAGCTCGATTAGAAGGATCACACATAAGGACATGACTTCCAATTCCATATGATATCAAATTTGGTAAGTCTCACAACCGATGTACATCTTATTTGTTTCTCGAGGTTATATAAAGAGGAGGATTTTGTTTTGAGTGCACCCATTCCAATCTAAAACATCATTTAAGAATTGAGTCTTTTCTCCCGACTTTCTAGTTTTCCTGAAAACATCATAAAATCTCAAACCACATGAATCTTGTCTTTTTAATGCTGAAAATGTTGTTCTAACATCACTGATGCTTTTTTTAAAGATAATCAACCAACTTGTTGTGTAGGTTCTGTATTCCTTCAATGGTACATCTTCAAATAGATGGGGGTTCGGTTTTTAGCCTCCACTACCATTTGACAAGAAGAGCATGTACAATGCTATGATTGATCCAAGCCTATACCTTCGTTTTCTTTAAAGATAATAACATTCTCCCACGAAACCTAATGTATCTTTTTTTCTTCATGTCCACCGCATAAGAACTTCCTACGAATCTTCTTCGGGAGAATTGAATAACGAAAAAAATAAATAGGAAGGTTACCTAATACCAATTTTATTAGGGTTAAACTGAAACATCCCAAAAATGCAACCCGAAAATTTTTGTTTTAATATTACTAAAAACCCACAATATCAAATGCCATACAATAAAACCATGAATCGTATGTCTCAAAACGCCATAGTAAAAGTATCAAATCAAACTAATGTCACTATCATATCAAACATCTGAACAAACTCCCAGGATAAAACTGTGGTGTGTGCCATGCCATCATCCCGAGCTCTTTCCCTTGCTAGCGGAAGTACCTGAAACCAAAACTGAAACTGTAAGTACGAAGCTTAGTGAGCTCCCCCAAACTACCACATACCATACAAACATTTACACACATATTGGGCCTTGCCCACTGCATCGGACCGAAGTCCGAAAACTGCATCGGAC